TATATATATATATATATATATATATATATATATGACAGTGTACTTGCCTGACTGGTGGATTCCCTTCAGTGGTTCAGCACAGAGTGAGGAAAACAACACAAATGGATGTTTGTCCTGGTCTATGAGCCACTCCTCAGCCATGGGTCACATGAAGCTGGTATTTTCCTCATCACATGTCTGGTCTGTTTGGCCATCTTCCATTAGCACCGTCTGAGACTTCACTCACTAACTTAATCAGGCCTCATCACGTGAACATACAGAACTGTGCGACAGTCAAAAACAACTCCCGAGTTTATTCAGATTCTGGTTAAAACTAGACACTCTTTGTTAATGTTGTGTTAGAGTCAGACAGTATAGGAATCTTATTTGATAAGAGAAAATGATAAAAAGCCTCCATACATGACAAGAAGCTGGTATTCCCTTCCTTTGGGTTTTGTGCACCCTGGTGCCACTTTTAAGTCCATCCCTCCAATCAAGAAATTAGTTTCAGCTGTGTCCTACTGATATAAGCTTTTACCAGACATGTCACTGAGCCTAATTAGTGATTCAAACATCGACAAGTTTCTGAAGAGAATGGATATAGATATATAAATTACAAAAATGCTGTTAAAGTCATAGGGGGGAATAACTCTACAAACTGGAAAATTATAGCTAAAATAAAAAAAGTATGTTCAGTGTTTTAGATCCTATATACATATATATACATATACATATATATATTCTTCATTATATCATGCAATATTTTTTTAGAGGCAGGGAATAAATGATGTATAATGACCCAGCCTCCTGCTAAGACAATAAAGTAAATAAAGGTAAAAAAAATAAATCAAAACTCAAATGAAAATAACACAATTAGGACTTGCTGCACACAAAAAACTGATGACGTTTTTTGTTTGTTTATTGACTTAAAATATGAATATGATTAGCATACTTGAAATGTAACAAAATGTTTGTGTTCATCATTTTAGTAGTTTACATTCCCAATATTTAAGTACTAAAATCTCATATTTTGATGAAGAATGTATCATGACACTGGAGCACATTGTGTTGAAAGCAAACAAAACACCCACTGATGACAAGCATGGGATATTTTTTAACATCTCTTTTGCATACAACACATAAGTCATATCATTGCATCAACATAATCCAATCGACCCATTCTTCAATATGCCAGTTGGCAAACAGTTTATTCTTTGCCTTCAATATCTTTTACACAATTTTCAAGATTTAGGTGTGGCAAAAATATAAAAAAAACTAGTTAAAATAAGAATAACAAAATGTGCATTACAAAAAAAAAAGACTTTTGTTTATGTGTGGTTTTCTGTATCGAACAACCTGATGACCAAGACAGCTTTAATTTCTACTAATCAATTGCTTTTTTTAATAAAAAAAAACACCTCTCCCATAAATAATATGAAATCAAACAAACAATAATAATCAGGTTATAACGTCAATGATTGTGGCCATTCTTTTGTAAAATGCCAGATAGATTTTCTTTTAGATTTAATATCTAAATCAAATTTGTGAAATGATAAGCCAATTCACAAAACAAAACAGGCTTACAATATGAATAATTGTTGCACAATTATGATTTAAAAAATGGACATTTTTGTCTTCACATTTGCAGAATGGGAATTTGATACTGCACTTGTCCTTCTCAAGCCACTAGAGGCTGCCATTGCGATACTATATCAAAGATGGGCGGCCTTTTACAAAGAGTTCTTTAGATGTATCATTTTGTGGACATTTGAAAGATAGTGTAAAATCAAAACACACGTCTTTATAAATGAACATCTTCGTGTGCAATAAATCATTGTGTATCAAGTCAGAAATATCCAAATGTACACAAACAGAATATCATCAATGTATAATCATTACTCATGACAGAGAACTGCAAGTACATAAAACACAACCAATGTACTTATTGTCTCCACCATAAAAACCACAACAATCACATTGAACACAACAGTAGTTCACTGACTGCGGTGCCACACAAAATATTCACAACTCAGCTCATCAGAAGAATCATTTTCAGACTGGCTCAAAATCTCAGGAATATCTAGAAAACCAAAGATGAATATCACAAAAATAACAAGATCTCTGTTGACTGAAAGTAAGGGCACAATTCAAGAACTTGTTATATTCCATCAGACACAGGAAAGCTATATCCATGTAGAAAGGCAATGTACAGAAGTTCTGATGAAAACAAATGTCAAGAGGACAACAGGTCAAATCAGTACAATGTAGAAGCCTGTGACACAAAATAGTGTTTGTCTTGACTTTCAGTGACGTATTACAGATACATAGTTTTGTTGGAAATGCAAAACCACTCTGCACGTTACAGATCTAGCTACCCACAGAGAGAAATGATAATAAATCCCCAACCCTGTGACAAGGACATCCTTTTCCCTTGTGTCAATTGCACTTCAAATATTCTTCTGCGATGCATTTTAAAGCCCTTTTCTATTGTTTCCCACACTGAAAAGGCAAGGAGTTCTTTGAGGACAGTAGGAAAGTTTTCATCTCTGTAACTGACCTTACACAACCCTTTATTCATACAAACAGCTTTGCTCAATGGATGCACTGACACAAACACATACCGCAAGAAAACCACATAGGGTTGCTGTGCTTGACATACCAGCAGAGAAACACATTATGGATCTCTAAGCAAAAAAACTCCACAGAAACAATTAGATGTCTGCTTCTTCCATTTCCTTGTCCTATGTTAAATCGTTAGATTCCCTGTTATTAACCATCTAAACAGCCTGTCCTTTACGTGGACTCCCTGGGAATCCTCCTGTGGAATACCACAGACTGCCTCTGCTGAAACTGCTGCTTCCGTCTTTTTTTCTGGTCCCAGCGGCACAGCAGAATCATCTTAAAGGTTGTACGGAAAGTCTTGTTGCACAGGGCGTAACACATGGGGTTGACAGTGCTGTTGACGTAGCACAGCCAGTACCCTACCGCCCACAGGGTCTCCGGGATGCAAACATTACAGAAGGTATTGACCAGCACCATGATGTTGTACGGTGTCCATGTGATGATGAATGCAAAGAGGATAGCACTGAGAGTTTGAGCGGCCTTCTTCTCCTTTACTAAGGACATGCGCTTCCTCTTAGTGATCTGAGTCCGGGCACGGGCTGCAAAACGCTTTGCCAGAGCTGCATCTTTGAAGGACAGTGGGACAGAGGGGGATTTGGTGGTGGTGCTGATGGTGGTGGTATTGTCGGCGACTGTAGTAGTAGTTGTTGGGGGAGCATCCGAGCCTTGATTAGAGGTAGCCTGGATGGTAGGCATTGACTGAATCTTTTGTGAGCAGAAGCGTTGGTGATAGCTATTTTCTGAACTGTTTGCCTCATCGGGAGTAGTAGCGGCAGTGGTGTTGGCGGTGACTGTTGAGAGGCTGTCTCGGTTATACTCCGCTCCCCTGAGGGGATCCTCCTCTGAGGCTGCATCCAGATCCTCACATGAGGTTAGTTGGGAGTTGACAGCAGCCTTTATACCAGGCAGGCTGAGAACAATAGAGAAAATAGCATGACTCTGGGTAATCATCTCTTTGCCCCCACAGTCCTCATCCTCTGAAGACCCAGAGTGGTCTAACGAGACGGCAGCATCATTGTTGTTCCAGCTGTCGCTGCTGCTCTGGTCTGGATCCCCCTCTCCCTGCCGGATACTTCCAGGTCTCCAAGAACGAACCCCAGGCCAGCAGTGGAAGCGGCCGACTAGTTCCCGACATGTGCTCCTTCTCCGGGACAACCTGGTCAGCTCATAGCTGCTGCAACTTCTAGAACTTCCTGTCTGATGGACAAAACGTGATTTCTCGCTTTTACCATTACCACCTCTACCTGCTATCCCACCACGACTCCCCGAACCCTGCAATCCAGCTAACTCCTTCGAACGGTTCTGGGTCTCTTTGTAAATGAGCCAGTAGAGGACACTCATTATCGTCACAGGCAGGTAGAAAGCCGCCATGGCTGTGCAGAAGGTTATAGTGGGCTCTGTGAGGAACTGAATGTAGCACTGATTTGAGGGCACTGTCCTTTTACCTTCAAAATACTGCCATAATAGGATGGCTGGGGCCCACAGGACAAGAGAAACAAACCAGGCTAGGCCGATCATGATCCCAGCTCGCTTAGTGGTCCGTTTGGCCCGGTAGGTCAAAGGCCTTGTGATTGAAAAGTATCGGTCAAAGCTGATGACCAGTAGGTTCATAACTGATGCATTGCTGGCCACATAGTCTATAGCCAGCCACAGGTCGCAGGCCCAGTTGCCCATGGCCCAGTAGCCCATAACAAGATAAGCTGTGTAGAGGTTCATGGAGATGACCCCTATGATGAGGTCAGCGACTGCCAAGCTCAGCAGGAAGTAGTTATTGACCGTCTTTAGCTGGCGATTAACCTTGAAAGATACCACCACCAAGATGTTGCCAATGATGGTGACCAGTGACAACATGCCTGTCAGCAAGACAATAAGGACAACCTGCCACAAAGGGTGGCCACCCAAGGGACCAAGGGGCATAGTTCCATTTTGGGAATCTGAGGTGAGGTTTAAGAGTTTGCTGGTGGAAGAGGAATTATCATCCAGGGTATTCACATGAAAAGCCAACCAGGCTGCTCCTCCACTTCCTCCTTGGTGAAGAGCATTGGATTGAGGGTAGGCTCCGGCTGCTGGTAGTGAGGTGTTTGCAGTCAGGAAGAGACCAGGGTCTGTGCTGTTGGAGCTCATTGTTATGTCCTGGCATATTCCTAAGACAGAGACAGAAAGACACGAAAGAGAAGAAGGGAGGTACAAAGAGAGAGGGAGGGGGTAGAAAGTAGAAAGGGGGTTTGGGGATGACAGAGAGAATGAAATGGAGAAAGGACACATCAGCATTTCTATTCATATCCAGTAGGTGAGGCTAGAAAGCTACTCTACCAAGCTGGATGTCTGAAATGACAAAGATGCTTGGGTCTGATTTGTCCACCATGCTAAACAATCACTTATAACTGCATTTGTAGACGATCTGTATGCACACTGTGAATGCATTGCAAGCCATATTTCAAATTACAACTTGGCATCTAAATCAACAAGGCTAGACAGCCAACACTTCCAGTGAGAGAGACTGACTGCATTCACCACCTGTCATGTATGACACGCAGCAAATTGCAAAGACATTTCACTTAAACACAGGTAATCAATTTTCGAGTCTGTAAGGATGGCTGCGTTGGGATTGCACCTTGCATAACATTAGGCCTTGAACGGGGGTGGTTTTCTTCTGTCCGATCAGGTATGTAAGCTGCCCACTGCTGATCTTTATTCAAAGTCTGGTGTCTTATGTCAGTCTGTCTGTCAGTCTGTCACTCAAACAGATACAGAGTGAAACCGTTTGCTAGTGATGTGTTTTGTAGTGTTAATGCTCAAACTCTGTCAATTGTTTTTTCTAAAATATGAACATGACAGAAAACAGCCGGTGTCTGTTCATAACCCAAGTCAAAATCAGAGAAAAGTTAAAAAAGACGTTGCTGGCGACAGCTATGCTATAACATTATGCAGGCATCATCTTAAGTAGGGGCTTGCAGACAGCATGAAGAATGGAGGACAAAGAATAATTTGCCACCAGACTTGATCTACTGTTCCAGGAGCCTTCTAAGAAAGCTTCGCAGAGACAAAACATAATAGTGAAACAGAGAGAAAATAGCAGAGAGTGCTGTTTGTTGTTTGATTGGGCATCACTTCACAATGGAAACCAAAAACGGAAGACCCTATGGTTTTCGTTGAAGCAGTTATTGATAATTAGATAATAGCAGGGACTGTCTTTTTGCAGAGCAGCATGTCCTGTCCATTTCAAGTTTTCCTGTGAATCAATTATAATTACCGTTGTTTTTTGCATTCAGTGTGCATGTATATGTTTGTATGTGTTGAAAAAAAATGAGATGCTATCTAGTATAGAATATTTAGTAACTTTTTACTAACAAATGTGGCAAAAATGCTTTGTGTGATTTGATAACTGTCGCTCACTACCCTGACTTTTCTTTTTATTGTGAAAGTCACTAACTTGGTGTGACGTTTATGACAATGGTTTATTTTAAACCTGACACTATCCTTAACCGGCCTGTGTGAAGGGAACAAACACCAACCTGTTATCCTGGGGGACATGTAGCAACATCCCCCGGGAGCACCACCACCATCACCACCACCACCCATTTAAACAAATACATGTAAAGATAACACATGTACAACACATTATACAGTAAACCCACAAAAGCACACACACTATTTCAAATGACAGACAAAGGTATTTGAAGCTAAGTGCTGCACCTATGCCTTGACAGAATCTCAGACCTCCCACAGAGCTTTTAAAGAACCTCAGTAGCCAACAGCGACTGACAGCCGTTTGTGACATTGAGCGCATGCTGCTACTATTATTATCAGTGGGCTCCCCGCTATCCCCTCTGTGGACATATACCACTACATCCATTCACATACACACAGAATATGCTCTCACATTTCACACAAATACTGTTTATGTTACATGAGCATGCACAGCCACATACATGAATTGTATACATTATGTGCATATACAAATACAGTGCATGCATATGCGCACATAGATGGAAAGAAAAACATTGAACCTGCAATTATATCGTTGTGAAATAAAATGTAGCTGAATACAAATCTAACAACTACGACTGCATGCAAGAATAAACGTAAAGAACTGCAACATTAATGACAAACAGCAAACTTAAAAGCCTCAAAAGACAACAAAGTTTACCCTTCACAAAGCAAATTCTACTGAGAATTCAAGACAGCAATGTGTTGCTCGTGAGTGTTAAACATCTTTTAATTGGCTTACAAGGTCCAAATGTGTCCATGTGAAGATATGGTAAGGGCTTAACAGTGGGGAAATCTGTCTTTAATCTGATACCTTCACTTGGCGTAAACACAGGATGATAAAAATGAAATTAGAAAACCAAATAATAGAATAAAAAAAAGAAAATCATACAGTGTCATGTCTGGGGAATAGAGGCAAAAGGAGGCTTGCAGAACAGGGGAGGAAAGAGTGGATCCTATGGGAAAAGGCCAAATGTCAGACCCCCTGTACCTGCCTCTGCCGCCTTAAGAGTGACAGGATAGTTCAATGTCGGCACATGTGTATAGGATTTAGGATTTACAGCACACTGAGAACACAAACGAAATTATGTTAGTTATACTGATTTGACAAAATGATGCTTGTCTTGTTTTGTATGCTGTCAAATATACAGTACATATGTGTATATGTATGCTGTTTATTCATGCTCCATTTCTGTGCCCAACACTGACTAATACCACAGCGAAAATATTAATATGGGACAATCAAGCCTGGCTGTTGCCTGAAATTGCAATGATTAACTACCATAGATTTACATCTGTAGTCCCACGAGAGCAGAAACTGGCTGAACAACAGAGGACGAGTGGCTTTGTTTCTTTTCCCCTATAATTAAACTGATCAAGCCTTTTAAGATGAAAACTGTATGCAGCAGATGACAACACGGGTGGGCTAGCGAGACTTTGAAAATCAGCTGCTATCACAGTGAAGCCATTATAGTGTCTATCTCTCCGTCCAAACCCACGCTAAGCTCTACTTCTTATGTTTGACTCGCAGGCACGTAGGTGTGATGGTTTCAGGTGCACAGAGAGATCGATATTCGTTTATTGTGCTCCGTGTTCCTTGACATTTCGTCCTAGCAGGGTTCGACAGTGCAATCCTAGTTGGGTCCAAGGATCCATCTAAATGATTGGGTGGCTAATACAGGGCCATTTCAGGTTTCTATTTTATACGCACTGATAATGTCCAACAACGATGAGTCGTTGATAAGTGCTTTTTGATAAAGGTTAAAGCTGCTATAATTTGATGCAACCCCTTGAGTGCCACTACATGCCTTGAGTTAAAGAGATGCTGTTCTACAAGTTGCATTTCTCCTAGTACCATTCTTTACATAGGTATATAGCATGGGGAGGTTTAATCAACAAAAGATAGAAAAGAATATTGGTATTGCTTTTTCATGTTGGCTTGTCTAAAATGTAACAACTGGCTTTTGTAGCACCTTATGCAATGTGCACTTGAGACAAGTGCAGAGAGACATCTGGATGCAGTCAGGGGTTTTTAGCACTTTACTGCAATGAGGCATTATTGTAAAAACGACTCAGGCGTCAACAGCTTGCACACAGAAAAGGCTACTGCCAAACAAGGCAGAACTAGACTCAACCATGGAACGAAAGGTTACTATTCAGGCTGAGAAAAACGAATCAACAATTGGAAAGCTACAGTGGACTGACAAAACTAGAGTTCGGGCTTTTGCAAGACAAGAGAGCTTTTTTTTGCCTTGTAGCAAGAGGACGGACAGCGAGTGCAGGAGAGGCCTTCAAACAGTGGTCACTGACCGTGCATTAAAAGCAACAATGCCTTTGTACTCAGTCAAGCATCTGCTATCCCTCAAAGCTGGATGATGTGGTGTTGCACGATAAAGGATAACACTTGAAGATACCAGGTCATTCAGAGTGATAAAAGGTGGTAATGGGGCTTATTTCAGGGTGAAATTTAATCTGGCAAGTAGTACCACAGCACTGACGGCTCTGTGGAGTTATCGATTTCTGTGTTTTGAGTTAAGCAGCCTTGCTGGAACAACTTCTGACCGACTCTGCCATTGCCACTCAAATTGTGTAAGTTTTTGCCAAACTAATCATAATATTTCTGCCGGCAAAACAACTCTGCTAATTCGGGCCCAGCCACCTGTGCCGTTCAGTTCCTCGGTTGCATTTGAAATATTAAGTATGATTTTACCGGCAGACTGTTCACATAAATAAATATTTAAATAAACTGACCAGATATTGGGAAAATAAACGGTTATTTTCTTACATGCAAACATAGGGATCAAGCCTAATCAAATTAAATATTACCGGTTTTATTCACAGTATACAAAGCTTTTTTTTTCATACATCATAGATCCTCCAGCTGCACACAGAGCGCAGGAAGATAGTAGAGGAGCAACTGCAGTCTGTTGCTCTTTCCCCACCACCTCTGACATGCGGTCCGGTGAAACATCAGAGCCACTCTGACAATACAATTTGTAGACTCGTAAATGTCATTTTTCCCCAAGGACCATTCAGGGGAAGTGTTTGCTCTGAATCAGTAGTATATACAGAAGAAGAACTGTGTGAATCTACGTTTTTCTGAATCAACACAAAGCACTGCACCATTATAATATTTGGTGAGAAATGTGAAGCCAAAGCCTGATTTCAAAATATTAATTTAACAGAAGACTGATGGAACTGCATGGTTGATGATGCTAATTACAATGCTAATTTATTAGATTTAATGAATCAATTATATTTTTGTCCGGTTTTGTTCTATAATTGCACCTAGATATAAAGATATAACAGATAGATATAATAGAGACTACAGCTACGTAAATAAATTACAGAGACGCTTGGGTTACACACACACACACACACACACACACACACACACACACACACACACACGCACAAAGCAAATAGTTTTTGTTTGCTGCTGACTTAATCTTCTGAATTTAGCACCTTTTAAACGATGGTGATTAATTTCAATATTTTTCAAACAATTTCATCGGAGCCAGGGTCTAAAGAGGTAGTATTTAAAATGAAGTTGTTCATAAAAGAAAAAGGGACTGCACAGGATGATCTAAATCTATCACAAGCTGGTGATGATGAGGCTGCTGCCAGAAGATGGTGACAAGGGTTGTGAAACAGC